TGCACATGCTATGTCAGAGGCTGATCCCTGTAGAAGTCTTCTTTGCCAAGGCAGACCCAGTAACTAACAGTCAGGGCATGGGAAGCAGGGGCTGACAGTACCCTTCATGATTTGATCCCACCACCACCCCCCTAAACTCATCTCCCACAGCTCTCTGGCCTCCGCTCTCCACTCCAGCTACCACAGCATCTTCTTGCTCTTCCTGAAGTTCATCAGGCATGCTCTCCCACTTTGGGGCATTGGTGCTTGCTACCTCCTCTGCCTTGAATGTACTTCCTCCACCCGTGTAACACACACAGACACTCAGAGTTAATAACTGCATATAGCTGTAAGAGCTATGAATGCAGTAAGTTCCTGTCTTACGAAAAGGCTGGGACAGAAGAATAAGGACATTTGCAGTGAGGTGTCTGGCTGCGAGGAGAAACGCAGAGAACTCTAGCCAAGAGCTCTGAGATAATGAGACTGTAATCGGCTCTGTGCTGCAGGAAGGGAGTCAGTGTTGGACGTTAAACAGGAGAAGAGAGCATGGTCCAAACAGATGCCCTCAATCTGAGGAGCTTTGAGGAGATCCCAGAGGAGAGGAAAGGTTGGAGTAAGGACTCTCATGTGGTGAGAGCGATCCAGTAAGAAAAGGCTGGGGATAAAAGAGCACTGGGGGTGGGGGCTGGGGGGGACTACAGCCCCCAGTCAGATGGAGGTACCCGAGGTCAGCGTTTTTTTTCCTTATTAGAAATCTAAAATCCTAGAAACTCTATTTAGTTTGAAAGGATGTCACCATGTTCCTGAATCTTAATAACGTTTGTTTGAATAGTTTAAACTAGTTAAAATCCTAGTCATCATTTTCTTTCACTATGGGAATTCTGTGAAAGACAAGAACCAAAATCCTTCCTTGTTTCTGAAAGCAGTTCCTAAGATAACAAGGCGAAATAAAGAAGTCAGTATATTTAGCCATTTGTAGTAAACATTTAAGAATCCAGAATACATTCGTAGGACTACTTAACCCTTCTCTTATAAAGGAAAAAATAAATTAAAAAAAATGAAAGAAAATGTCTCCTAGGGTTCTCTGTAGTTAGTGTGAATTGGAAAGTGATTCTTATAATTTCTTAAATAATAAAAATAATAGCAGCAAACACTCAAGAGCTTATTTTGTGCTCAGCATTATTCTCTAGGTGAATTCCACATACTTTCATTTAATTCTCACTTCATCCCTATGAGATGGATACTCTTTTTTTTTTTTTTTTTGAGATGGATACTCTTATTAGCCCCATTTCATAAAGGGAAGAGGAGCAGAGAAGTTAAACAATCTTTGGATAATAGCCCTGTACGCTTACATGGGGTCTGGCAGACAGCAAAGTGTTTTCAAATACAGTGTACTCTCTGAAAGAAAGGCCATAACTACTTAAAATACTGGAGAAGATTGAAGAGGAACACAGAGCTGCCAAAATGACCACAGTGCTGAGGAACCAGACTCCCTTACTGAACGGAACATGGGAAACATTCCTTGGACAGAAAAAGGAGACCTATAAAAGTAAAGTTTTAGAGAACATGTTCAGAGTTAGTTGTATGGAAAAGTGGCAGCCTTTCTTGAGCCCTATACACAGGCTTACAAAGAATGAAATTCAGAAAAGCAAAGGTAAAAGGGATCTGAGCCCAGGCTGCCTGAGCTCTGAACTGAGTCCCTGGGTTTGAGTCCTGATTTTTTACTACTTAACAGTTGTGTGACCCTCTGCAACTTATTTAGTCTCTCTCTTACCTTCCTCTGTGAAATGGAGCCAGTAAGTCGCTCTACATCAGTGTTTGCTGTGAGGATTAAATTAATGAATGTATGCAAAGTGCAACACGAAGCTTTGGCATACAGCAATCAATCAATCAATCTTTTATTACTCTTATTATGATGATTGAGATTATGATTACTGAAGCAATGTAAGCAAGATACAAAATTCAATCCACATGGACAAGTGAGAAAATGTGCACCCCACCACCTTAATCCTGTTTTGCTCAGACATTGTTTATTAAGACAAGATACCATTTTCTAACTATCAGGTTGACAAAAACGTGTTGTTTCAATGATCATATGATGTGGCAACAAGGATGTGAGGAAAAGGAAACTCGCATATATTGAGAATTGAAGTAAAAATTGGTACAGCCACCATAAAAAGCGAGTTGACAACTTCTGATAAAGTAAACAGTACATTTAAATCTATGAGCCAGGGGCACCTGTGTGGCTCAGTCAGTTAAGTGTCTGCCTTCAGCTCAGGTCATGATCTCAAGGGTCCTGGGATAGAGCCTGGTGTGGGGCTCCCTGCTCAGCGGGGAGCCTGCTTTTTCCTCTCCCTGCCTCTCCCCCTGCTTGTGTGCTTTCTGTCAAATAAATACATAAAATCTTTTTTAAAAAAATAAATAAATCTATGAGCCAGCAATTCCTCTTATGGATACGTACCTATATAAATTCTCATAGATATATATATATATAAGGAAATAGAGATATTTATTGCACAGAATTATTATATTAGTAAGTGTTAAGTAGTCAAATATTGACCTGGGAATAAAGGGTGGTGTATTCATACATTGAAATTCACTGCAACTACACTGAATGAAGTGTCATCACGAAAGACATCCAAAACACTGGACTGAGAGAAAAGTAACAAGCTGGAAAGTGATACACAGAGTATGCTACCTATTCTGTAAATGGAAATCACATGCAAAATAAAAGTAACAGCTTATTTATGATCTTAAAATTTGTATTTTCTAAAAATATTCTCTATTTCCACATAAAGTAAACTTCTTTTAACAGTATAAATGAATGTCCCATCACGTTTCCCATGTTGTAAAGCATATTCATAACACTTGCTCTTAATTTATTAAAAGTTCTGGTTATTTTGGTAAGCATCCACTTACTATTCTGTGAACTTTTCCCAAAAAAAGTACGTTTGTTAGTGAGTGCAGTGTATCTTCTTAAGATTTCTTGAAGCTCCACACATATTCTCTCCATAAGGTAGTTACCACCTTTAGAGATATCTCAGGCTGATATGAAGATTAAAGTGAGGCTAAAAGTATAAAAATCTCCCAGTTCAGAAACTACACCCAAATTTTTCTCATAATAAAATTTCAAAGTGATTCCTGTGTCCAACATTTTCTATTTGCTTAGTTATTAGTGATGATGGTGATTATCAACCAGGCCAGCCCCTGAGACTTGGTGCTCACTATGCTAAAAATTTTACATGCTTTATTGCAGTGAATTCTCCAAATTTAAAAGATTCTATTATTAATCCCATTTTACAGATGAAGTAACTGAGAGCTAGCAGAGATTAAGAAATTTACCTTAAGGGGCGCCTGGGTGGCTCAGTTGGTTAAGCGACTGCCTTCGGCTCAGGTCATGATCCTGGAGTCCCGGGATCGAGTCCCACATCGGGCTCC